ACATGAGGAAGGCCCCTAGCATGTCATACCCTCATAAATCTGTGGCAGATTTGTGGGAGTACATCAGTCACACAGAATGGACAGCCATTAGATGGGTTGCAGTCTTCACCACTGGAGGCAGTATAGATCCTTTTACAGGATGGATAAATATATCAAAATGACTTGTTTTGGAAGTTTTCCTGATACAAAAAGGGAAGATCTTTCTTAACAGGGAAATATATTTTTTTTACATACTAGGCAAACTTAATGGGTTATGGTGTTTAAAGATTAGCTCTCTTTGAGTCAGCACACGCTAGCCTAAGGATATGCATTAATACTTGGCCAATTGCAGGCATAATTACCTTTTGGTACAAGTCTGCAGTCTCAGATTTATTTGTGAGGGTGCCTTAAAATGGAAAGTAAACTCTTTGGAGATAGCCTTTAAAAACACTTGGAATTTTCCATCTTGCTTTGCCTTGAATGAGCTTTTTTTTTTCTTAAGTATGACTTCAATCATATCACAGCTCCTTGTATAAAACTCCCTTTTATTGCCTCTTAATTCAAATGCAATTTCCTAATCAAAGACTCTAAAGTTCCCCACGTGGACTCTACCTAGAATCACACAGCTAGTATGTGTCAGAAGCAAGGAAAACTAGCATTTGCAGGTACAGGAGAATGAAGACCTTTCCTGGGCCAAGAACAGATCATAGTCCAAGAGAGTAGCAATGAAACCATTCTTTAGATTATACCACCTTAGAAGCATCAAAAACCTATAGAACCTCAGAACTAGCTCTGAAAACAGCAGCATGAAAGTCTGAAGCTTGGGACTATGCCCCCTCCATGTCAGGATCAGAGCCCAAATTTAACATAAAGTTTAAATTCAAGAAATAGACTGGATAAGAGAGCAAATAAACAAAAAGAAACTGATTGTAAAAATCTACTATGGTTGCAGGGAAGATCAAGACACAAATTCAAAAGAAGATAATGATGTCAAAATAGCTACAAAGTCTCAAAGAAAAAAAAATGTGAATCAAATACAAGTCCAACAAAAATTCCTGGAAAAGCTTTAAAATTCAAATAAAAGAGGTAGAGGAAAAATTGGGAAAAGTTATGAGAGTGATGCAAAAAATATGAAAAGAAAGTCAACAGCTCGGTAAAAAAGGCACAAAAATAGTGGAGAAAATAACATCTTAAAAACAGAAATGGCTAACAAGGAAAAGGGCAAAAAGTTCACTTAAGGAAAGACCTCTGGAGAAAACTGAATGGGGATAGAAAGGGATATACTTTTTCTCAGTGGTACATGGCACATACACAAAAATTGACCGTGTACTAGGGCATAAAAACCTCACAATCCAATGCAGAAAGGCAGAAGTATTAAATGCGTCCTTTTCAGATCATGGTGCAATAAAAATTATATGCAATAAAAGGTAATGGAAATACAGACTAAAAAATAATTGGAAACTAAATAATCTAATCCTAAAAAATCCCAAATCATAGAAACAATCAATAACTTCATTCAAGCAAATGACAATAATGAGACAACATACCAAAATTTATGGGATGCGGTGAAAGCAGTTCTTAGGGGAAGTTTTATATCTCTAAATGCTTACATAAATAAAACAGAAAAAGAGGAGATCAATTAGAAATATTGAAAACCAAAGGAAAAATTAATAAAATTGAAATTAAGAAAACTATTGAACCAATAAATAAAACTAAGAACTGCTTTTATGAAAAAAAAATAAAATAGGCAAACCTTTGGTTAATTTAATTAAGAACAGAAAGAAGAAAACCAAATTATTACTATCAAGAATGAAAAGGGTGAATCCACCACCAAGGAAGAGGAAATTAAAACAATAATTAGGAACTATTTTGCCCAACTCTATGCCAACAAATTTGACAATCTTAGTGAAATGAATACATATTTACAAAAATATAAATTGCCCAGATTAACAGAAGAGGAAGTAAAATACATAAATAACCCCATCTCAGAAAAAGAAATTGAACAAGCCCCTGATGAACCCCCTAGGAAAAATTCTCCAGGGCCAGATGGATTTACAAGCAAATTCTATCAAACTTTTAAAGAACAATTAATTCCAATACTATATAGACTATTTGGGAAAATAGGTGAATAAGGAGGCTTACCAAATTCTTTTTATGATACAAATATGGTGCTGATACCTGAACCAGGAAGAGTCAAAATGGAGAACGAAAATTATAGTCCAATTTCTCTGCTGAATATAGATACAAAAATTTTAAATAAAATATTAGCAAATAGATTACAGCAACTTATCACAAAAATAATACACTATGACCAGGTAGGATTTATACCAGGAATGCAGGGCTGGTTCAATATTAGGAAAAATATCAGCATAATTGTTCATATTAACACTGGAACTAATAAGACACATGATCATCTCAATAGATGCAGAAAAAACTTTTGACAAAAGACAACACCCATTTCTATTAAAAACACTAGAGAGCATATGAATAAATGGAGTCTTCTTTAAAATAATAAATAGCATCTACCTAAAACCTTCAGCAAGCATCATATGTAATGGGGACAAGCTAGAAGCATTTCCGTTAAGATCAGGGGTGAAACAAGGATGTCCATTATCACCACTGCTGTTCAATATCATACTGGAAATGTTAGCCTTAGCAATAAGAGAAGAACAAGAAATTGAAGGTATTTGAATAAGCAAAGAAGAAACAAAGCTATCACTCTTTGCAGATGATATGATGATATACTTAGAGAATCCTAGAGAACCAAGTAAAAAGCTACTTGAAATAATAAACAATTTTAGCAAAGTTGCAGGCTATAAAATAAAACCACAAAAATCATCAGCATTTCTATATATTTCCAACAAAGCCCAACAGCAAGAGATAGAAAGGGAAATTCCACTTAAACTTACTGTATACATTAAAAAATATTTAGGAGTCTACCCCCTGAAACAAACTCAGGAATTATATGGACACAATTACAAAACCCTTTTCACACAAATAAAGTCAGATATAAATAATTGGAAAAAACATCAGTTGCTCATGGGTAGGCTAAGCTAATATAATAAAAATCACAACTCTACCTAAGTTAATTTACTTATTCAGTGCCATACCAATCAAACTACCAAAAATATTTTATGGAGTTAGAAAAAATAATAACATGATTGATTTGGAAGAACAAAAGGTCCAGAATATCAAGGGAAGTAATGAAAAGAAATGCAGGGGAAGGTTACCTAGCCATTCCAGATCTTAAACTGTATTATAAAGCAGTAATCATCAAAACTGCTTGGTACTACCTAAGAAATAGAGTGGTGGATCAGTGGAATAGGTTAAGTATACAAGACACAGTAGTCAATCACTGTAGTAATCTATTATTTGATAAACCCAAAGACCCCAGTTTCTGGGATAAGAACCCACTCTTTGACAAAAACTGCTGGGAAAACTGAGAGTACGGCAGAAGCTAGGTATAGATCAAAATCTCACACCATATACCAAAATAAAGTCAAAATGGATTCATGATTTAGATATGAAGGCTGATACTGTAAGCAAACTGTGAGAACAAGGAGTAGTTTACCTATCAGATTTATGGAGAACAGAAGAATTTATGACCAAAGAGGAGATAGAGAACATTACGAAAATTAAAATGGATAACTTTGATTACCTTAAATTGAAAAGTTTTTGCACAAACAAACCAATTCAACCACAATGTGAAGGAAAGTAGAAAATTGGGAAAGAATTTTTACAACCCTTCTCTCTGATAAGGGCCTCATTTCTAATGTATATAGAGAATTAAGTCAAATTTATAAGAATACAATCATTCCCCAATTGGTAAATGGTCAAAGGATATGAACAGGCAGTTCTGAGATGAAGAAATTAAAGCCATCTATAGTCATATGAAAAAATGCTCTGAATCACCATTGATTAGAGAAACACATATCCAAAAAACTCTGAGGTACCACATCACACCTATCAGATTGGCCAAGATGACAAAACAAGAAAATGAAAATGTTGGAGACAAGGGAAAATTGGAACACTAATGCATTGTTGGTGAAGTTGGGACCTGATCCAACCATTTTGGAGAGCAACTTGGAACTATGTCCAAAGGGCTACAAAAATGTGCATACCCTTTGACCCAGCAATAGCACTTCTAGGACTATATCCCAAAGAGATCATACAAATGGGAAAAGGACTCACATGTACAAAAATATTTATAGCAACTCTTTTTGTGGTGGTAAAGAATTGGAAATTGAGAAGATGCCCATCAATTGGGGAATGGCCAAACAAATTGTGGTATATGAATGTAAGGAATACTATTGTGCTATAAGAAATGAGGAACAGGCTGATTTCAGAAAAACCTGGAAAGTCTTGTATGGTCTGATGCTGAGTGAAGTAAGCAGAACCAGGAGAATGCTGTACACAATAACAGCCTTGTTGTGCGATGACTAATATTGATAAACTCAACCCTTCTCAGCAACACAAGGACCTAAGATATCTCCAAAGGCCTCCTGATGGAAAATGCTATCCACATCCAAAGAAAGAAATATGGAGTTTGAATGCAGATCAAAGCATAATATTTGCTACTTTTTTTCTTCTGTTGAATTTTGTTTCCTCTTTCTGGTGATTCCTCCTATTGGTTCTAATTCTTACTTACACCATCACTAATGTGAAAATATGTTTAATAGGAATGTATATGTATAGCCTATATCAGATTGTGTGCCATGTTGGGGAAGGTGGTGGTGAGGGAGTGGAAGAAAAATTTAAAACTCAAAAGCGTATGGAAGTGATTGTTGAAAAATCAAAATAAACTAATTAAAAAAAAGAACTCCTTAAAAAACAGAATTAGCCAAATGCAAAAAAAAAGAGGTAACAAAACTAGCTGAAGAAAATAATTCCTTAAAAATTAGAATTGAGGTGTTCGCAGCCGCCGCAGCCGTCGTAGCTCTCCAGCGCTAGGGCTGCCTCTCGCTCTCCTAGCCCAAGCCGAAGGAGAAGGGGGGTGTGTATAAGGAGAAGTTTTCAGGAACATGGTTCGTACCAAGCAAACTGCCCGTAAATCCAGCGGTGGTAAAGGCCCCAGGAAGCAGCTTGCTACAAAAGCCGCTCGCAAGAGTGTGCCCTCTACTGGAGGGGTCAAGAAACCTCATCGCTACAGGCCAGGTACTGTGGCTCTCTATGAAATCAGACGTTATCAGAAGTCCACGGAACTTCTGATTCGTAAACTTCCCTTCCAGCGTCTGGCGCGTGAAATTGCCCAGGACTTTAAAACAGATCTGTGCTTCCAGAGTGAAGCAATTGGTGCTTTGCAGGAGGCAAGTGAAGCCTATCTGGTTGGCCTGTTTGAGGACACCAGCATATGTGGTATCCATGCCAAACATGTCACAATCATGCCAAAAGATATCCAGCTAGCACACTGCATACGTGGAGAACGTGCTTAAACTCCACTATGATGGGAAACATTCTTCATTCTCAAAACAGAAAAAAATCTCTTCTCCCTGTTATTGGTAGTTCTAAACATTAGATATTTTTTTCACATGGGGTCAAAAGGTACCTAAGTATATGATTGCGAATGGAAAAATAGGGGACAGAATCAGGTATTGGTAAGTTTTTTCCATTTTCCTTTGTGTGTGAATTTTGAACATAAATGCGAGGACATAAAGCATTAATATGGTCAAAAAAAGTTTCCGTGAACAAGTTTCAATAACTCAACTTTATAACAATTGTAAATAAACCTGTTAAATTTTTCTGGACAATGCCAGCATTTGGATTTTTTAAAAAGTAAATTTCTTATCGACGGAAACTAAATGGTCTTTGTAGCATTTTTATCATATGGTAGATTCAATCCATTCACTATACTTTTCTAACTGAGCTGTCCTACATGCAAGTATATGTTTTTAATGTTGTCTGTCTTCTGTGCTGTTCCGGTAAGTTTGCTATTAAAATGCATTCAACTAAAAAAAAAATTAGAATTGAACAAGTGGAAGATATTGAGTTTATACGACATCAAGAAATAATAAAAGTTGAAGGAATGAAAGAAATAGAAGAAAATGTGAAATATATCATTGAAAAACACCAGAAAAACACCTGGAAAACAGATACAGGAGAGATAATATAAGATTACTGAACTACCTAAAAGCCATGGTAAAAAAAAAAAAAAAAGAGCCTGGACATAATATTTCTTTTTTTATTCTTATTTTTTTTGTTTTCAACATTTACTTCCACAAAATTTTGAGTTCCAAATTTTCACCCCATCTCACCCCTCCCCCCACCCCAAGATGATATGAATTCTGAATACCCCTTCCCCTAGTCTGCCTTCCCTTCTACCTCTCCCCCCACCCTTCTCTTATCCCCTTCCCCTTCTGTTTTCCTGTAGGATAGGATAGATTTCTGTACCCCATTTCCTGTATTTCTTATTTCCCAGTTGCATGTGAAAACATGTTTTTAAACATGTGCTTTTAAAACTTTGGGTTCCAAATTTTCTTCCTTCCTCCCTCCCCCACCCACCCTCATTGAAAAAGCATTCAACTAAATATAGGTTATATATGTGCAGTTATGCAAAACACTTTCCTAGTAGACATGCTGTGAAAAAGTAACTCCATTTCCCTTAATCCTATCCTGCCCCCCCATTTATTCTATTCTTTCTTTTGACCCTGTTCCTCCTCAGAAGTATTTGCTTCTGATTACCCCCTTTCCCAATCTGCCCTCCTCTCTATCATCCCCCTACTCTCTTGTCCCCTCCCCCCTCATTTTCCTGTAGGGTAAGACAGATTTCCATACCCAATTGAGTGTATATGTTTTCCCTCCTTAAGTAAAATCCTAGGAGAATAAGATTCACTCATTCCTTCTCACCTTCCCCCACTTCCCCTCCACTGTAAAAGCCTTTTCTTTTCTGTTTTTTTGGTGAGATAATTTACCCAGTTCTACCTCTCCCTTTCTCCTTCTCCTAGCATGATCCTCTCTCACCCCTTAATATTATTCTCCAAATATCACCCCTTCATCTTCAACTCACCCGGTGCCCCTCTATGTATCTATGTATCTATGTATCTATGTATCTATCTATCTATCTATGTCTATATATACATATACATAATTATTTTTCCCTCCAACTACCCTAATACTGGCAAAGGTCTCATGAGTTACAAATATCATCTTTCCCTGCAGGAATGTAAACAGTTTAACCTTAATAAGTCTCTTATGCTTTTCTCTTTCCTGTTTACCTCTTCATGTTCCGGTTGAGTCTTGCATTTGAAAAGCAAATTTTCTATTCAGCTCTGGTCTTTTCATCAAGAATGCTTGAAAGTCCTCTATTTCACTTAATTGCCATTTTTCACCCTGCAGGATTATACTCAGTTTTGCTGGATAGGTGATTCTTTATGGTAATCCTATCTCCTTTGCCCTCTGGAATATTATATTCCATGTCCTGCAGTCCCTTAATGTAGAAGCTGCTAAATCTTGGGTTATCCTGATTGTGTTTCCACAATACTTGAATTGTTTCTTTCTGGCTGCTTGTAATATTTTCTCCTTGACCTGGGAACTCTGGAATTTGGCTACAATACTCCTAGGAGTTTTCCTTTGGGGATCTCTTTCAGGAGGAGATCGGTGGATTCTTTCAATTTCTACTTTGCCCTCTGGTTCTACAATATCAGGGCAGCTTTCCTTGATAATTTCTTGAAAGATGATGTCTAGGCTCTCTTTTTGATCATGGCTTTCAGATAGTCCAATAATTTTTAAATTCTCTCTCTTGGATCTATTTTCTCATGTCAGTTGTTTTTCTAATGAGATATTTTACATTGTTTTCTAATTTTTCATTCTTTTGGATTTGTTTTACAGTGTCTTGATTTCTCATAAAGTCTAGCTTCCAATTGCTCTATTCTAATTTTTAAGGAAGTATTTTCTCAGTAAGCTTTTGGACTTCCTTTTCCATTTGTACGGCTTTGCTTTTTAGGGCATTCTTCTCCTCACTGGCTTTTTGGACCTCTTTTGCCATTTGGGTTAGGCTATTTTTTAAGGTGTTATTTTCTTCAGTATTTTTTTGGGTCTCCTTTAGCAAGCTGTTAACTTGTTTTTTATGATTTTCTTGCATCACTCTCAGTTTTTCCTCTACATCTCTTACTTGCTTCTCAAAATTCCTTTTGAGCTTTTCCAAGTCTGGGACCGATTCATATTTTTCTTGGAGGCTTTGGATGTAGGAGCTTTGGTTTCTTTGTCTTTTTCTGGTTGTATGTTTTGATCTTGTCACCAAAGTAAGATAATATAGTCTCTTTTTGTGCTGCTTTCTCATGATCCCAGCCAATTACTTGAGTTTTAAACTCTTTGTTAAGGTAAGAGTCTGCTTCCAATGTGGAGAATGTACTATCCCAAGCTTCGGGGGTTTGTACAGCTGTTTTCAGAGACACTTCTAGGTACCTGAAAATTTTCAGTTCTTCCAAGGTGCTGTGATAAGGGATGAGGTGTTTCCTCCCCACTGCCACAACAAGCTCCACCATGCTAGCACTCCTCCTTGCCCCGGGATCGCCCCTCAGAACTGTGACCCAGATCCAAGCACTGGTAAAGCAAGAGATTCCTGCCTCAGCACTGGCAAAGAGATCCCTGTAATCTCTCTCTGATCAGCCACTCAATTCTACCTCAGTCTGTGGGGTGAAAGTTCAGGAAACAGCTGAGGCCCTGGGCTGCACTCAGACTTGCAGCTGAGACCTACCTCCTTTTTCATGGCAGTCACAGACTTTTCCCATGGACCTTCCAAGTTGTCTTTGGTATTCATGGGCTGAGAAGACTGGAAACTGCCACAGCTGCCTGTGATTCAGTCCTCTGACTCCTGCTACAGGGTTGCTGTGGCCTGTGTGCCCACACCACACTGCACTCCTCTCCTAGGCCAGTGAAATATACCTTTCCAATCAACCATCCAAGCTGTCTTTGACTGGAAATTTGTTTCACTCTGTTTTTTTGTGGGTTCTGCTGCTTTAGAATTTGTTTAGAGCAATTTTTTATAGATACTTGGCAGGGTTTGGGGGGACAGCTCAAGCAGGTCACTGCTTTCCCTCTGCCATCTTGGCTCCACCAATCTAGACATCATATTTCAAGAAATTATTGGGGAAAACTGCCTCAATAACCTAGAACTATAAGGTAAAATAGAAACTGAAATGAACCACCTATCACTTCCTGAAAGACATCCCAAAATGAAAACTACCAGAAATATTATAGCCAAATTCCAGAGCTCCCAGGTCAAGGAAAAAATATTGCAAATAGCCAGAAAGAAAAAAAAATGCAAATATCCTGGAGCCATAGTCAGGACCAAACACGATTAAGCAGCTTCCAATATAAAGGAGTGGAGGACTTGGCAATATAACATTCCCCCAGGCAAAGGAACTAGGATTACCACCAAGAATAATCTACACAGCAAAACTGAGTAAATTCTTCAAGGGAAAAATTGATATTTAATGAAATAGAGGATTTTTTTTGAAATAGAGGATTTTCAAGCATTCCTGATGAAAATACCAGAGCTGAATAGAAAATCTGACTTTCAAACACAATAGTCAAAAGAAGCATAAAAAGGTAAACATGAAAGAGAAATCATAAAGGACTCAGTAAGGCTAAACTGTTTACATTTCTATATGGAAATATACTTGTAGCTCCTAAGGACTTTATCATTATTAGGGCAGTTATTAGGGCAGTTAGACAGAGGGCATAGATGTGAATTAACTACAATGAGATGATTTAAAAAAATTAGGGGGCTGAGAAACAGGATTGCACTAGGAAAGTGTGGGAGAGAGAGGAAGAACTTTTCTCACATAAAAGAGATGCATAAGGAAGAGCTTTTACAGTAGAGGGGAAAATGGGGGGCAGTGGTGGGAAATGCTTGAACCCTATTCTCATTGTAATGATAGGAATAACACAGGCACTCATCTGGTATATAAATCTATCTCACCCAACATAAGAATAATAGAATAAGGGGATAAGAGAAGGGGGAGGGGCTGATAGAAGGGAGGATAGATTAAAGGAGGCAGTGATCAGAAGCAAAACAGACTTTTGAGGAGACAGGGTAAAAAGAAAATACACAGTAACCAGAACCATGAATGCATTATGAACTCATACATAAAACAGAAGCAGATAGCAAAATGGATTAGAAACTAGAATCCAAGATTATGTTGCTTACAAGAAAAACACTTGAAAAAAGAAAATAAAAAAAGGGGGGGGAGGCCTGGAGGAAAATCTATTATGCTTCAGTCAAGGTTAAAAAAGAAAGAAAAAGGAATAGTTGTCAAGATCTCAGAAAAAGCAAAAACAAAAATAGAACTAATTAAAAGAGATAAGCATGGAAATTACATTTTGCTAAAAGGTATCATTGACAATAAAGTAATATCAACTCTAAACATATATACACCAAATGGTAGAGCAACCAAATTCTTAGAGGAAATGTTACATGAGCTAAAGAAAGAAATAGTAAAACTATATTCATGGGGAACCTCAACATTCCCCTATCACAACTAGATAAATCTAACCAAAAAATAAA